GTTGTTATTATTCTTCTTGCTAAACATTATTCTTCTTTTTTTTTTTGAGATTGCCATGATTACTTATCTTAGTGTTGCTACTGCCATTGTTGTTGTTGTCGTCGTCGTCGCCGTCGTTGTCGTTGTTGTTGTTACCACCACCACCACCACCACCACCACCACCACCATCACCACGACTACTACTGCTACTACTACTACTACTACTACTACCACTGCTACTCCTACTACTACTACTACTACTACTACTACTACTGTTACTCTTGTTGTTCCTATTTTTATAGTCATCATTAATACTATCTACTACTATTACTATTGTCATTATTATTGAAATTATTGCTACAACAACAGCAACTACAACCACTACTACCACTGCTGCTACTTACTGCTACGACGACTACTACTACCACTACTACTACTACTACTACTACTACTATTACTACTACTACTACTACTACTACTACTACTACGACAACAACAACTACTACGACGACAATTACTACTACGACGACTACTACTGCTGCTACTACTACTACTACTACTGCTACTACTACTACTACTACTACTACTGCTACTACTACTACTACTACTACTACTACTACTAATGTTACTACTACTACTACTACTACTACTACTACTACTGTTAGTACTACTACTACTACCACTACCACTACTACTACTACTACTACTACTACTACTACTACTGCTACTACTACTACTACTACTACTACTACTGATACTGCCACTACTGCTACTACTACTACTACTACTACTACTGCTACTACTACTACTACTACTACTACTACTACTACTGCTAGTACTACTGCGACGACGACTACTACTACCACCACTACTACAACTACCACTACTACTCTACTACTACTACTACTACTACTACTACTGCTACTGCTACTACTACTACTACTACTACTGCTACTGCTACTACTACTACTACAACAACTACTACTACTGCTACCACCACTACTACTACTACTGTTGCAATTACTACCACTATTACTACTACTGCTACTGCTACTGCTACCCCTACTCCTACTCCTACTCCTACTACTACTACTACTACTACTACTACTATAACTACTATAACTACTACTACTACTACTACTACTACTACAATAATATTATTACTACTACTACTACTACTACTATTCCTACTGTTGCTGCTGCTGCAGAGTGCGAGGCTGGCAGACGAGCACCGCTTAGTCGTGGAGCCTGCGTGTGGAGCAGTCGAGACCTTAGGTCGCGGAGGTGCTTCACGGATCTTCGCTTAAGGATGTTACCGTTCAAGGAGACCTTATGATAGAACCCTACAGTACCCCAAAAAAGGACCTTATTGCAGAAGCCTACAGTACCCTTATAGGAACCGCTGAAGGTTTCGATTGTCTTGAGGGACCGGGATTTAGGGCTTTAGGTTTGCAGGGTTTTTGTGCGACCTTTGTACGTTGACGGTTTCGCCAAAAGAATCCCAAACCTCTGAAGTCAGGCATGTATCCATAAACTGTGTGCCTCAAATTATAGAGGGGTCCTCTTAAATGCTCTGGAAAACCCTGGTCCCGAAACAAAAACCCTAAACCCTAAACCCTAAACCCGAAACAGGAAGCCCGGCTTAGGCGCTTGCTGCAGTCACCGAGAACTGCGAGTCTTTGAGAGGCTCCATGGGCACGACACATGGGCAGTTCTTAAGGGACCGTCCCTTAACGGGATCTATAAGGGCTTCTATATGGTAATAGAAGTAATAACAATTTCAGTAACAATAACACTAATAATCATAATGCTGATGCTGATAGTCGCAGTGGTAATAGTGAGCATGGGACCTATAGTACTTTTTGTCATCTCCGGTGGGTGTAATTGAAAACAAGTGGGCATCTCTTTCAAAAGCAGTGGTTTCAAAGTTGTTTTGATATGGGTGCTGCAAGGATTTGGTCTGTTTTACATGGGTTTCTGAAATGCAGGGAGGTACGGTCAAAGAAGAGTCGTGATAACAAGGATACTCCTATTTAAGGTCTGCGACAGGTTCCTTCACTTCTGCAGCCTGTAAAGGGGCAGCAAGGGTTTAAGCCTTTCGACGGAGTGAAGTACGAACCTTCTTATCGCAGTCGTTCTTGTTGGATTTCACAAGGGATTTCGGGGCAAAGTAGCAGCGGACCTGTTGTTGTGGGAATGTTGTGTCTCAGAGGAGGGATAGAGGAAGTCACATCATGTAGGATGTTTTGACGCTCCTGATCACGAACTTCAAAGCGCTAAGCTCACAAGGTGAGTAGGTCGCCTTTTGCCGGTTTGCACGGCCCTGCCATGATTAAGATTTTTGAACCCTTTTGGATGTAAGGGAACTCAGAAAACGGGGTCCCCCTAAACGGTAAAGTCTAAACCTTAATCCGTAATAATGCTCTGTCTACTCTGTGAGGCATGAAGAAGATCGTCGTAGAGATTTGCGGTGGAGCCACTGGCTTAGTCTCAGATGGGCTTGGTGTGAGCAGTGCAATGCTGTGTTGCATACAGAAGGCAACCTAATTGGGTGATTCAGGGTAGAGAGGGCTTTCTATTAAAATGCTACTATCGGGGGTATACTACAGTAGAAGCCAGAAAGTTGGAACATCAATATCCTCATGGCCTTAAGGCACAGAAGAGGGAATCCCAGCACTAGTCATCCTAAACCCATGTTCCATCTTTCTGGGGCTCACGGTGCGAGGGTTCTGTAGTTCTGTCAACATCTCGGGGTAGCTTCCCCGGATATTGACAGAATACCCTGGCAACGGTGAGTTGCAAGCATGCCGACCGACAGAACCCAATACCCCTCAAATAAGGAGTCTACCTTAAATCATAATGTTAAAGGCCCCCATTAGTTTAAGGTATGTTCCTTAATTAAGGGGTACTGGGTTCTCTGCCGACGTGTCTACTTTCTCGGAAAAAGGCCCAGAAACTCTCAGTTGCAACGGTTCGCAGGACACAGGAACCAGCAACCTGATACTCTTGAATCAAGGAAGATTACACTTTAAATCATAATGTTCTGGCCCGTATAATTTAGGATTTAGGGTTTAGGGTTTCTTACACTATAAAGTCTTTAACATTATGATTTACGAGTTTCAGGTATATTGCTTAGTTGAGGGGTATTGGGATGTCTGGGCAGGAACCAGAAACCTGATACAGTGCCAATGCTGAAGACGAGTGGAATCCGTGTACACTGTTCACTATGGTCCAATTACCAACATGCTTCCAGGCGGTTGTGAACTCTGCGCAGCTCTCTGAGTGGGCCGACCAAGTAAAGGCTGAGAGCTAGCTGCGCCCTGCGGATGAAAAAAAGGCTCTTTTCCTGCTTCCTCCTTCCCGCGCTGTTGCATGGCACTGCAAAGCCTCACTGTCCGCGAAGCCGAAGCCCCTTTTACGAACAGGCAGCACAGCGCGGTCTGCCGGCGAGCAAGGCCGGGCAAGCGACAACCTGACGCGGGTCATCGAAGCGTCGAAGCTCTGTGATGTCTTGCAGGATCTCTTGGATCAAGTGGCAGCCCAATCCTCAGAGATACGGAATTTTGCAACACATGCTAGCATGAGCCGTCTTGCCTGCTGCACAGGCGCGTCTAGACACCGCGGCCCGCATCCAGCAGACGCCTCAAAGAAGGGGAAGATGCTTAATGCGCCGCGAAATGTGCATCAACACTGTGTGGACGTCAATCCCCAACTGCTTATACCAAAATCACATGTCCACCTATAGTCTCCATTGTAGTTCCTTTTTGGTTTAACCAAATATATACTAAGGAATTTTTTAAGGTATCCCCAAGAAGCAACTACAATGGAGACTATAGGTAGTACCCGAACCGACACACTGTTCCAATGCCCCGAGCAGCCTGCTGGAAGACGTGTTCCACTCGTGTTGGCTCTTTTTTCAGGGTTTAGGGTTTAGGGTTTAGGGTTTAGGGTTCAGGGTTTAGGGTTTAGGGTTTAGGGTTTAGGGTTCAGGGTTTAGGGTTTAGGGTTTAGGGTTTCGTCAAGATCCACTCCACAACCGGCGGATGACGCGTGCGATGTAATATTGGGGCCGAAACAATAATCGACACTATTGTGGGGGCTCCTTGTTTATAGTTATAGTATAATATACCCCCAAACCTATTCTAATGATTAAGGCTTCTACATTGGGAGCTAGGATTAGGAGGACCCCTGGGGATATAGACCCTCTCAATAAGGTCCCTTTTAAGAGAGCCAAAAGTAGGGTTCAGAAAGGGTACCCTCCAAGGGGTACCCCTAATAATACTACCTATACATCAGCTCCCTGGCCATTCTTAGCAAAACCTTCCAAGTGCTGTGTGCGAGACGTCCAAAATCTCTCGAGAGGGCCTTCATTGGAGAAGCATGGAATTTCAGTATAATTCAACAGTGTCAACAGCACGAGACCAACTTACTTTTTTGAGAGGGTGGCTGAACAAAAATATTAAAGTCAGAAGTAAACAGTTTCCTGAATCCCTGAATCGCACAACGCAGCTTCGGGACGCTTGACTTCGGATCGCGACGTAGTGTCAGACTACTTGGAGGATCATGGGACTTAGTAACTAGGGTTATAAATAAGGTAGCTATCATCATAACCCCAATTAGGGTACTTATAACCTTACTTACTAAGTCCTACGAACCTCAAAAGCCCTAAAAACCCTACTAAACCCTAAACCCTAAGCCCCTAGTTACTAGGTCCCATGATCCTCCATGAGCTTGGGACTTCTGACTCTGCACTCGGGAAGGCATCGGAGTTTGCCTTCGAAGGGGATGGGAGATGATAGTATAATATCACATAGAAAAGGAAAGAATAGTATAGTATAGTATAGTAAAAGTATAGTATAGTAAAAGTATAGTATGGTGATAGTATAGTATAGTATAGTATAGTATAGTATAGAAAAAACATAGTATAGTACGGTAACGTAGCATAGCTAGCATAGTAGATGTAACCCTAAACCCTAAACCCTAAACCCTAAACCCTAAACCCTAAACCGTAAGCCCGCAGCCTGGAAGCTCTCTTCCTTGGCACTCGGGGTTGCCTCCACAAGGTCCCGGCTTCAGGATTTCAGAGACCGACATTCATGGCTCAGAGAGCCCAACTTACCCCTTAAAGAAGGAAGATATATACCTTAAATTATAGGGGCCTTGAAGGGATCTATAAGGGTTTAGGGATAGACATTAAATCATAGGGGCCTTAATAGTATGATTTAAGGTCTATTCCCCCATTAAGGGGTCTTGGGCTCTCTGGGCATGACCCAAAGACGTTTTGGGAAGGAACACACACTTGGTTCTTCCCCCTAAACCCTAAACCCCAAAACCCTCAACCCTAAACCGAGAGCTTGACTCCATCGTTCCTGTAGTTGGAATAGCTGATGCAACCCATTGCTATGGTAACTGACCGGAACGTGCGCGAAGTAACATGCATGAATGGTGTTGAACTACATCTGTGAGAAGGACTATGAAGTTGGTTACCATCGTCAATGACCATTGTTGGTTACCACGCATGGCTACCATGCGCGCTTTAGCGGCGGGACATGGGGGTTTCCGAAAATAGGGGACCCAAATATAGGACCCTGAATAGTAGGATCCTTATTATAAGGACCCCAAAATAAGGTACCCCTTATTTTCGGAAACTCCCACCCCTAAACCCTAAACCCCAAACCCTAAACCGACCCTAAACCCTAAACCCTAAAGTTCGGAACCCCCCACATTGGAGTCTCTAAAACCTATGCTTCAGACTGTGGCTTCAAATCACGTCAGGAAAACGTCCGGTTTAGGGTTTAGGGTTTAGGGTGTAGGGATTAGGGCTTTAGGGATTAGGGGTTTAGGGTTTAGGGTTTAGTTTAGGGTTTAGGGTTTAGGGTTTAGGGTCTCGGGTTGAGGTTTAGGGTTTAGGGCTTAGGGTTTAGGGTTTAGGGTTTAGGGCTTAGGGTTTAGGGTTTAGGGTTTAGGGCTTAGGGGTTTAGGGTTTGGGGTTTAGGTTAAGTCAGTCCGTGCATGAATTGCAGGTGTGGTCTCATCCGTGCGGTGAGCTGCACCGTCGCCCCATGCAAGCAGCAACAGCTGAGATTCTATCGCATTCTTACCGACACTCCATGATAATTCAACAACCCAGAGAACCCAATACTCCCTGACGTAAGGATGATACCTTAAATCATAACATGGAGGCCCCTAGAATTTAACCCTAAACCCTAAACCCTAAACCGTGTAATTTAAGGTCTATATTCCGTATTTGAGGGGTAGGTTGGGCTCTCTGGGAACCCGAATCGCCAGGTGTCCCCCAAGCCCAACAGCCTCCCTTCAAACCCCCCTACACCCCTAAACCCTACACCCCTAAAACCCCTAAACCCCTAAACCCTAAGACCCTAAACCCCAAAACCCTAAACCCCTAAGCCCCAAAGCCCCTAAACCCTAAAAACCCCTAAAGCCCCTAAACCCCTAAACCCTAAACGAAAAAAAGCCCTAAAAGCTCCCGGAGTCTGCTCCACCTTCATGTGCCCCACCGTCGTCGAGGAGGTGGCGTAGGGCGACGAAGGGCACCACACCTCTGCCTGCAGGCGAAACCCAAAAACCCCTAAACCCTCAACCCCTAAGACACGGTTTAGGGTTTATTTGGAGGATCATGAGACTTAGTAAGTAAGTTATAAGTACCCTAATTGGGGTTATAATTATAACTACCTTATTTATAACCCTAGTTACTAAGTCCCATGATCCTCCAAGTAAACCCCTAAGCCACGTTTTAGGGTTTAGGGTTTAGGGGCAGGCGGCACTGAGCTTTAACCAAACACGGCATAACTTTACATAGCGAAGCATAAGTGCATACATGCACACATACATACATGCATGCGGTCTTGCGTTCATGCATGGATTTATTCGTGCATTTCATTTCATTCCCTTCCATTCCCTTGCCTTCATTTCATGCATGTCATTCATTCATTCTTTCACCCCTTTCAATCTTATCTTTCCTTCCCTTCATTTCATTTCATTTCATTTCATTCATTTAGTTCACTACCTTCATTCCCTTCGTTCCATTTCATTCCATTCTATTTCATATCATTCATTCTTCGTTTCATCATGCATTTCATTCATGCATTCATCCATCCATTTCATTGTATTCGATAATTCAGTATTTCATTAATTCATTCATTCTTTCTTTTCATTCATTTGATTTCGTTACATTATATTCATCACATTTCACTTCATGTCACTGCACTCCGTTCATTCATCCCTTCATTCATTCATGAACTTATTCATTCATTCATTGATTCAGTCGTTCATTTCATTCGTGCCATTCTACTCAGTCATTGATTCATTCATTCACGCATTCACTCATGGGTTCATGTAACCATCTTTATTCACTGATTCTTTCTTTCGTTCAGGCTCTCTTTCATTAGTTCATGTGTGCATATGGTCGGCATGCGTGCATACCTACATACAGACATGCACGCATACATCCATACAGCCATACATCCATATGTGCATGCATCCTTCCATGCAAACTCACATGCAAACATACATGCCTACATGCATGCAGACATACGAACGTACGTACATGCATGCATGCAGACATATAGACAAGCATGCAGACATGCATGCAAACGTACATACATGCATGCTTGCATGCATGCATGCATACATATATGCAGGCAGGCTTACTTACATACATACATACGTACATACATGCGTACATACATGCGTAGATGCATACATACGTACATACATACTTACTACAAACAGACGGGCGGACGGACGGACGGTTGCACAGACACACAGACAGACAGGCAGACACAAACTCACATACGTTTGCATGTTTGCATCCATTCACGCACATACATATACATGCACATGTACATACGCACATACATACATGCTCATACATGCATACACCGCACCGTGCCCAAACTCCTAAACCCTAAACCCTAAACCCTAGCCTTCGTCTCGGCCGGTGCAGCAACTTCGCTTCTGCGACCTTCCCGAGGCCAACAAGATGCCAATGGGGCTCTGAGTACTTGGAGGATCATGGGACTTAGTAAGTAAGGGGTTAGGGTTTAGGGTTTAGGGTTTAGTAAGTAAAGTTATAAGTACCCTAATTGGGGTTGTAATTATAGTTACCTTATTTATAACCCTAGTTACTAAGTCCCATGATCCTCCAAGTACTGCTGACCAACAGGCAAGCGCACACACACGTGCACACACACCCACACGCACATCAACATGCTTGTGCACTGCTTGAGAAGCAGGCTTGTCTGCATCCACTAAGACAGAACTTGGATGATTCTGACAGCAACAATTGCCGCTGTTGATGCGCTGCCAGGGACTCTGGAAAGGCAGAAACTTGAGGCAGCTAGATATTGCAAGAACCGAGCGTTAGTAGAAAAGATGAGGCAGTGAGAGTCAGTTCATCGGAAGACACAGTTCGTCGCGCTCGAGGCAACGGCGGACAAGGTTTCGAAAGTGTGAATCCTTTGGAGTGTTCTGTCGGTGCCAGTTTTTCGGGACACAAGATTGCTGTGGGCTTTCTACAGGCTGAAGCACAAAGATATTTATCTTTCTTTCCAAGGTGGTACGTCGCATCCTAGCTTCAGCCACATGCAGGAGTTCAGTTCATGCTTATGATCACGACTGTGAAGGCAAAGGTGGCTTCTCAAGCTTTAGCAGGCGCTATCATATACCCTGTTTTCCATACCGATGATGAGTCTTCAAGCTGGCATTGTTACCAACCCATCTCACGGAGCATACAGCTGTTTATCGAATTCTATCGGGCCACTGACACTCTTTCTAGGAGCAACCCGAGACAAACTGGGCCTGCAATGCCCGGAGCTGCGAGGGTCGGGCCTGCAAAAAGGAAATCTGATATAAGAGCAGGACACAAGAGCAAGTGCTATGAGAAGCAAGGATAATCTAGAGACACGCATGAACCAAGTACAATGATAATTTAGGATAACCTAGGGACATATGAACCGAAATCGATGTGCATGTGTGTAGATGTAACTGTAACGTGGTTGTGCGGTGTGCGTTCTCTCCCCCAATATTATCCACCCCCAGGTACAATGGCCTGGAGCCTTAAGCCCAAAGGAAGAAGGAGGGGGACCCAACTCCAAAGCTCAAAGCAGAAACGAAGGCCCAACTATACTATTCCACCGTAAAGGAATTGAATTCTGAGTCTCAAGACCGAAGCCGGGGAGGTGAAGAGGGGGGGAGGCTCGTCGTGGCGCAACTATAGGCGTACAAAAAACATGTGTATGTATGTGTGTATATATATATATATCTAATGTAATCATGCTGGAATCGTACTATGAGTTTCTTGCGGCCACTTCGCTTTACATGCTGTTCTCATCTTCTGCTGTGATGGATAATTATGCGAAACTGGACTTGTCAGACCATGCTCAGCCTCTAACCCAAAGGCTCCATGCACCTGTATAGTAGATACTTAGGCCTTCAAGGGGTCCCTGTATAGGTACTTTAAGGCCTAAGTATCTCCTATATGGGTACATGGAGCCTTAGGGTAAGCCCCAGATTTCGGTCTCTTGCTTCACGTGATAGTCAGGGCCCGGAGACTGGACAAACGAGGCATTCACTGCAGACACGTGCCAGATGCGTCACTAACTCCAAAAATCGGATCCAATTTTCGACACCTCTATAACACAAGCAAGCTCTAAGACAACTCACAAGCCTCAACCAGAACTGAAGACTATGCACTCCCAAGCACACGACCCAGAGAGCCCAATACCCCTTAATTAAGGAATATGCCTTAACTCATAATATTAAGGAACCTAGAATTTAAGGCATATTGAAAATGCCTTATAAATTATAGGGGCATATTCCTGATTCAAGGGGTAAGTTGGGCTCTCTGGGGATGGCACGCTCAGAAAGGGAGAAGCCGGCCACACCTAAGGAGCTTCGTCGTGAGCCCAGCGTGGCCGCAGCCTGCACCTGTACCCAGCCGTCATGATACTTGGAGGGGTTTGGGTTTAGGGTTT